ATTACATATGGATACTAATGCATTTACTAAACCTAGAAACACAATGTACCGACTTCCATGGCACCTAAACCACTTTGCAAATCCTTGTTCAACCATTTTATCAACATCAAGCGCACCTTTGCCTTTGCACAAGATCGTCCCTCATGCATAAGCTGCATGGCAAAGCTAAGTCATAAGAATAATTTGAAAATTTAGAAATTAAACAAAAACTAATCCCCAAAACATATAATAGATACTTACTCCAAATATTCCTCAGCTTCTTCACAATTATTTAGCACATACCAAACTAACTTATTGAGGACATCATCATCAATGTACTGGCTCCTATTAGATCCAACAAGAGTAACACCATGCTTAAAAACAGAGACGTCATCAGACAATGGCATCTCTCCATCATTATCATCGTGATGGTTAAATCTATTATCAATATCCTCCATATACCTAGAACAAAAAGTCAATGTGTCACTTGCCATATATGCCTCAGCAATTGATCTTTCCGGCCTCGCCCTGTTCCTTACAAAATTCTTCAAAGTGCATAGCCGCCTTTCTATTGGATACATCCATCCGTACTGAACAGGTCCTGCATGTGTCCATCTTTGTTTTCACGCTTACCATCGAAAGCCAAGCTTCTCCGCCATGCATGTGTCCTTGGAAGGTAACGACGATGTCCAATGTAACATATCTTATTCCTTATTGCCCGAGACAACGGATCCTTATCACAATGAATACATGCATAATACCCTTTTGTTGTTCGCCCTGATAACGTGCTCAACGCTGGAAAATCATGTATACACCACAACACGGCAGCACGAAGGTTAAACTTTCGACCAGTGCATGCATCGTAGGTACTGACACCCTTCCATAGATCGAGCAGTTCTTCAATTAGGGGCTCAAGGAACAAATCAAAATCCTTTCCTAGAGATTTTGGACCTGGGATGAGTAAAGACATAAAGCAGTTTGCTGGATTCACGCATTCCCATGGTGGGAGATTCAGTGGTGTCAGAAGCACTGGCCACATACTGTACTGCGTACTCATGTTGCCAAATGGATTGAATCCATCGGTAGCTAAGGCAAGCCTCAGGTTCCTTGGATCATCTGCAAAGGATGGTTCCCTCGTGTCGAAGTCCTTCCATGCTTCTCCATCAGCTGGATGGCTCATTACATTGTCGATTAAGCGTCCTCTTTTTTTTTGTGCCATTGTGTTTCCTCGAAGTTCGCTTTGAAGCAAAAATTCTTTTCAACCTTGGCAAAAGTGGAAAATGCCTCAATACCTTGTGTGGAACCTTCTTGTTCCCGGTTTCATCTTGCCATCTAGACGTCTTGCATCTTGGGCACACATTCTATTTTTCATACCTCTTCCAAACAACACACAATTGTTCTTGCACACATGGATGTTTTCGTAACCAAGGCCCAATTCTCCAAGATATTTCTTGGCCTCATCATATGATTTTGGCAGCTCACTCGAGGGAATCCACGATGACAACAACTTCATCATTATGGAAAATCTGTATTGCCAATTCGATAACGAGACTTGATATACAACATCCTCACCGAGAAAAGATAATTTCGAATGGCTAGATCCCGGCTAAGTGACTTCTTTGTATCTTCAAGGACTCTTGCAAACCTTGGTTGTTCTCCATCGACCTCTGCCAAGACATCTGAGATCTCCTATCATCTTTGGTACTCGTGATCCTCATCATAATCATCATCGGCCACATCCACATGTATCCCAAAGTCATGATCACTTCCTTCGACCTCCCACTGCTCCAAATTCTCAACTACTACAATGTCTGCCGACTCCCATGATGAATCCACCGGTGTATGTAGTGACATCCCATAAATGTGTATATGGTCACTTACATCATCCTAAGACCGTAGAGTTTGATTAAGACATTTGCTTTGCATCGAACAAAGTATGTGGCTATCTTCGGTATCTTTCAACGACAAATTTCATGAACTCTTCAACTCCTTTCACATATGCAGTGTGAATTGTGTCCCAAAAATCCAGCTTCTATCCATCTCAGACATTGTACTCAGGTCCTTAAATTCCAGTAATAAATTCAACAAAATTCAAAAACACATCAAAGACATGCATATATGTAAAACAAATTGATAAACAAAGCAAACCTTGTACTCGGCAATCCTCTTGCTTTCGTGCTCCACGCCACAACTCTGCTCATTGCGTCATTCGCTTTGCTCTCATCGCACAGCGTCGACAAACAGCGGTTTGTCGGCATGGACGCAGGGAGAAGGAGATGGAGATCGCCAGATTGGTCTCGGCAATGACGACGGCGGCTCACGTGAGATCGCCAGATCGGTACTGGCCTCCTAGGAGAAGAACTACGGCGGCACCACGATACCTATGCACGCACGTATGGTCCATCAACTCGGTCGACAAAACAAAAAAAAAACATGATATCATGTTCTAAGTACAAATACAAAAACAGGCTAGCCATAAACACAAAAGGCCGAGAGTTCCAGCGGTAGCGCCTCCTCCTTGTCTAGCGGCAGGTCGCGGGTTCGATTCCCCCTGCGGGGGATTATTTTTGCAAAAATTAAAAGGAGAGGCAGCGGGCACCGGTGGAGCCGGACCACAGGCCAGCAGCCACGCCCGCGTGTTCGCCCGCCACGCCCGCTGGTGGGACCGCATCGCCACGTCATTGATGTGGGACCCGATGGTGGGACCACTCCGCCACGTCCTCGGTGTGGGACCCGCTGGTGGGACCACGGCGCCACGTCATCATCTATGATTCAATTACCATGGAGTTTACAAATAAAAAAAATATGCATATTTTTATCACAAAAGGCCGAGTGCTCTAGTGGTAAGGCACCTAGTAGCAGGTTGCGGGTTCGAAGCTCACTCAGTGAGCTATTTTTTTGCAAAAAAAAATGGAGGGGGAAGGCTGCAGGTCCAGCTGGACCCATGTCCTCGAGGTGGTACACGAGCCAAACAATCAATGACGATTTAGTTTTGTTATTGTATGACGATTATTTCGTTTTCTTCATTATTCTTCGTGCCAAAGCTCCGTCACTTGTGACTAATGACGAACCTGCACATTTCGTCATAGAATGCTCTCATTCTGTGACGAAATTAGTAATCGTCACGAGTGAATCGTCATTGATGAACACATTTCTAGTAGTGATAGGGAGAACCAAATAAAACATCACATACATCTATATGGGTTACCTTTTGGGTTGAAATCTTTGAAGAAGCTATCCGTTCGTCTAGTGTTTCTTTCCATCACCTCAATGAAGTGGCAAAGGTGCTTCCTTTTTATGTAGTTGCAAGGCCCTCAAAGGTTGCCAAAAGGAAATCAAGAAAGTACAAAGATGAAAGCGGCTCCTGTAATGTGAGAAGGCAGAGAGCTCTCGAAGGTAACCTAAGGATGTGAACCATGGGGGTATCAAAGGGATCGTACTATTGAAGATATGTCAGGAATATAGTTGGTAGGCTATAGGCAACTTGTTCGTCTCCCCTATAAATGTTGTGTTTATAAATGTTGTGAAATATTAAGGTCTATTGATTTGGGCGTTGATCAGAGTACGAGGGTGGCGAGAAGCTCTGGGGAAGCAGAAGATTGCTCAAGAATAGCACGATCCCGGTGCCTGTTCAACTTGCCAACTTTAAGACGCAGATCATCGACGAGGCCATCTGTCTATTGTTGCTAGGCCTCGAGGTTGCCGATCGTCGTCTCGATCGCGTGCAGGCGCTAGTCCCGACACTCAGAGTCAATGATGCGGGCGTCCTACCGCAACTCCGATCTCGAAGTTGACCTCGGCATCGGAGAAGCGCTTGTCGAAGCGGTCATTCTGCTCGGTGAACAGGCACTACATCTCATCCAGCAACAACCTTTGCTTCGGACTCCTGGTGCCCCTACGACATTGATGATGGTGAGTATAGTGGTGGTGTGGTGGCCGGGATGAGGTGGTGGTGGCAAACCCTCTCGATCGGGAAGATCCCCACAAATCAATCAACGTGCCTAGGAATCACAGGAGATCACCGCGCGACCAGGGGAGGGGACCTCGGGCGGTGGCCAGACCGGCGATGGTGGTAGGGCGCCGCCGAGCAGGCGATGAAAGAAAAGCGGTTGAGAATAGCTCATGGCGGGGGGCGATTGGTCGTTCTTCCTCATTTGATTGAGACTAGTGGAGGGCAGGGGTGGACGGTGGAATGTCGTGGCCGACGGCGAGGGTGCTGCTGGCTAGGGCGGTGGGCGAGGGTGGGGCAGGCAGGCGACGAAGACGACAGGTCCGTGGGCATTAAGGGCCTGTTTGGTTTTCATAAGTCAGGTGATTTATTAAGTCAGGTGACTAAAAATCAGTGACTTATAAGTCAGGTGACTGTTTGGTTGTAGATGACTTATAAACTCATTAAAGGTGTGGGCCCCGCGAAAAGGGTGACTTGTAAGTTTTAAGTAGGGGTGAACCAATTTAAAACTTATAAGCATGGATGATTTATAAGTTGGTGGTGTTTGGCAAAATAAGTCACTTTTTCCACTTTTTAACTTATAAGTAGGTGACTTATTTGGAACCAAACAGGACCTAACCTTTGTTCCCATGTACACTAAGTTCATGTTCTTTCCTGTTCCCATGTACACTAAATTTCCTGGTGAGTCTATTCTTCCTCTTGGCCCCCGGCATAGTCTAATGGTCTAAGCGGGAGTAGCATAACTACACTGGCTTGCAACGTAAGGAACCGATCACCCGTATTGATTGCGTTGCCATTGCTTACCAAATGGGTGAGATGAGACTGAGGAATTTCCGACGTAGGATAATCTTAGGGTACAAATAAAATGACTCATTTTAAAAGAGCACCGATTATCCGATCAAATAGAGCAAGGGGCGCACAATATAAAGCACCAGCACCTGAAGGGCCATGGCGCTGGTACAGATGACATATCCAATTACACAGGCCATGCTGCTGATACGAGAGGATAGCAGGGCCCAGACACGAACCGAATGGGACCATGTCGAATTATTGCTGGCATACACAGGAAGCTCTAATTTTCCTGGGCACCTTCATCAGCTGGGGCTTCCTTCTCCTTTACCGCCTCCGCAGATACCTCCCTTGGCTTCTCTTCGGTTGTCGGTGCCTTCTCAGCCTCAGTGGTGGCCTCACTGGTTTCAGGGGCCGTGCTTGCGGTGCTGCCGTCTTCAACAGGGACAGTCTTCTTGACAGTACCAACCTTCACATACTTGCTCATGAACTTGTATTCCCAATCCTGCAGGGCGTCAAGCTCAAATGGGCCTAGGCCAGAGATGTCGCCAGTAAGATCCTGTGGCTCAAAGGACATCTTTGCTAGGGCTCTGCTGGCATCTTTACCAGCGAATAGGGCATAAGGTCCGCCAGGTCCATAGAACATTCTGCATAGGATCATTAATGAACATTATAAATACATAATGTGTAAATAAAGTAAGAAGGGGAAAGGAGGGGGGATTTGAACCCGTAAGAAAGCTTCATAACAAATTTCTGACATGTAAGTCACTGAAATGGATTCACGCCTGACCATATCAGCACAACTATTCTTGAATAAAATAAGCATAAGAATGCATAATATAAAAGTGACCCCATGTCTTTCGCATGGACAGCCGTGCAATGTGAAATGATTGTGATTGTGAAAGTACAAGCACAATCAAAGATAGATGTGCAATGTGTTATATTATTTGATCTAAGAAGTTTTAAAACACATCTTCCTCCACCACAAAATATGGGTACAGCTGCAACTGCATCTTGCATACCAAGGGCTAGCTAAGAGATATCACATATAGTATTCCATGGCCAGATCTAACCACAAAACTTCTAAAAAAAGAATAAAGCAACAGAAAAGAAAAAACATTAAACAGCTTTCACCCGGGCAACCAGTGCCAAATAAAAAGCATATCCAAAAGTAGTCCTCATCTCCCATTGAATCAGAACGCTTTACAAGCAAAAATATCACAACCTTTTTTTTTAGTTTAGGAAGCCTATCTATATTTACCACATATCTTTTCACTGGCAAGTCTGGGAACCCCAGCTGCACAGATGAAAGGCACAACAGGTTTACGCTAACTTATTATATGAGCATTGAATCTCTATATCAAATCAGGCAATAACCAGCAAATATACTCTCCATTATCAACTCTATAGCCATCATCTCAGATGGCATACAGTCAACTGGTGCTAAAAAGATTCTAATCAAATAGAAAATTGATTAGATATACCAAACAACAAAGAAAAAATCAGCAAAAGAGATCGCAACAAAGATTAGGGAATTGATATCAAGGCCCCAAAAGTTTGTTGTGGACCTGCTGCCCGCGATTCACACCTTAAATTTTCACCCATTGCAAAAATATTCATCCCCTAGCAAACCATAGTGGCAGCTCATATTGCTAACCATAGCGGTAGTTCATATTGCACAACTACTAATCGACCAAATCAAGTTGCCTTGACCAGTAAAAATTCAATAGAACATGATTTTTTGACCTCAACAAACTGAACCACAGACGGTTACAAATGCTACACCTGCAACACGTCCCCATAACAAACAACAAAGCAATTAATCAATATTTTCCATATATTGATGCCACCCAGGCAAAGAGTCCCCGAATGCGCCAAGACATTAAACAAGAAATTCCAGCAGATTTATAACCAAGATTACTCCCATCATCCGGGAAGACAGAAACGACAATATCAAAAAGCACAAATAGACAAGGCAATAAAAAAACCTCATAAATTCGAGCAAATTTATCACTTGGATTACTCCAATCATCAGGAAAAAAAAACAAATCTATAGTTACATCTGAAAACTTGGAGAAGCTAACTATCAGTGAACCGATAACACAATCAGTATGCACTAAAAAATCAGCAAGCAGTACTCAGTCAGGTCATCCAAATAGTACAGCAAAGCCGGCCAATTATGCAACTTCATCAACAATCATACAGCAATAAGAAGTAGGCGCGACACTTCTATACAAGTAGGCGCGACTCTTCCCAAGATTATATTATATGATGAATACTGACTCGACTACGGTAGAATCGGGCCACCGCAACAAAATCTAATCACTAGAACAGCGATCGAGTCATGAAAACAGGGGGTAAGTTAGGGTTTTGGCGCAAAGAACAGACCTGCTCTGGGTGACGTCGTAGATCTGGCCCTTGATGGCCATGAGGAGCGGCTTCTTAGGGTCGGAGCCGTCGTACTGGAGGAGCTCCTTCTCGGAGACCTCCCCCATCTGCACGGGGGGCGGGAGCGGCTCCGCCTCGGGCTCCTCCCGCGGGCGCGGCGGCGGCGGGGGCGGGGCCGCGAAGAGCCCCGACACGACGTGGTACAGAGCGGCCGCCACCGCCACGGCCGTGAAGAAGGCCGCCGGCGACAGCCCCGTGTACGCGACGATCGCCTGCTTCAGCGTCTCCCATAGCTCCGCCACCGCCATCGCTGCCTGCTTCGGGGTAGTCTCGTCTTTTCGGGCGACTTGGAAAGGGTAGCGAGGAGGCGGAGAAAAATATCTGCAGCGTTTTATAGAGGGAGATGAAGAGAGCTGCTCTCAGGCGAGGCGTAAAAGGGGTGAAGTGGCCTAGGCCCTGCCAGTTTTCGTTAGTTTGGCTTTTAGGAACTGGGCGGAATCCAAATGCCTCAGTTTTTGCTGCTAGTTTTTATTAGATTTTTAAAAATTAGGAAACTGTTGATATCTTTTTTTTTACAGAGCAATAAATAAAGTCAGATTCTTAAAAGCTAGAAATTACTCAAAATTCATATTTTAGAAACCAGAGGCAAACACTAATTTCTAAGAATCCAAAATTGATCGAACATGCCCCAAGTGGGGTCGGATAGCCTGACGAGTGGGTGCAGCGGAGAACTCGAGGTATAATTGCCCCCAATTGGATCGCCTCGGATCCGGGGCCCAGATGTAAGTAGGATCCCGACGTGTGTAGCACCAAATTACTCCGATAGTTTGCCTACGTCTACGTATCGTGGATTTGATTACATTTTGAATAATACTAGCAAATATTCATGGGAACGACGATATATATTGTACATATTATTTATGTTTTGCCATTTGTAAAATTTAAAAGTTATAATTTATTTTATGATAACCATGACATCAAAATATAAGTTAACGTTGGCAACAATATAATAGTGTATTATTAAGCCTAAATTAAAATACAATCTAGATAGAACTTTTTCTTCTATTGCAAGCCCATATTTAGACATAAATAATTTTCATTTTCATTTTCATTTTCATTCTATCATTGTGTTGCTATATTTCAAGTATACAAATAGCCAGTTATAGGTGCCGTTATAGCCAGCTATAGCTGTTTTGAGCGGTACGTCGCTATTTGTATCATGTTTAGTTTAGTTGTTTTAGCCTGCTATAGCTCGCTATAGCCGACTCTTAACTTCAAGATAGCCTTGCCGTTAAATATCAGTAGCCCGCTATTTATTACATTGCTATGGATTCTCATGGCCTTTGAGGACCCATAAAAATCTATAATTTTGATCTTTGATTAAAGTCAACAAGAAGTTAGTTGCCAGCGTGCTAAAGATTGGTGTGTTCACTGATGATTATGACCGGAAACCTCTATTGATTTTTCACATACTAGCCCCCGTCGATGATTGAAGAGATACATTTATTTAGACCGGATTAGACAATAAACTACTTAAGTTGTCTGTTTACATTTTGATCAGTTAAACCATTGACTAATTCAGTTTTTAATAAAAATATGTTACTTATCAAATTACGTTAACAACTTGGCAGTCAAAATCTTTATTCTATAATACAAGAGAAAAATCAATGGTTTAGAGGTTCATAATATTTATTCTGTAAAGAAAATTCAATGGAAGAAAAATCACTAAGCGGATAACGAATGGAAAAAAAAATCTAAAATAAAGAAATCGGACGGAAGGCATAAAAAAATCAAACGTAAGCTAAAGCCCACACAAATGAACGTAGAAAGAGAAAATTATTTTTTATTAGACCCAAATTGAATGGGATTCTGAGAAGAGGACCAGGGACATTAAACCGAACAAAACCTGGTATATGGATGGAGATCAGAGCTGGACGCACACAAAGGAACGTAGGAAGAGAAAATATTTTTTATTAGACTCAAACTTCGGAGAAAAGAACTTGGGACATCAAACCGAACAAAACTTGGAACACAGAAGGGGATCAGAGTTGAACGAAAAAATATACGGCAGAAATTTTGTTTCTTTAGTATTATGTATAATTATAGATTATATAGATATATCTACTCAGGGATTTACAACAATTGGAATTCACATGACTCGTGTCGTGTGGTAATTTAAAGGCTTATTTGGTTTGAGAAACATCTCCTGCTACGTAGAGTGGTTCATCTTATGAATTTTGGTACAATCAAGCTATTCTTTATATATTAATTATTAGCTTATAAGAAATAAGAAGATGATGAATCATGTTATCTTTTTTTCTATAAACCAAACAAAAAAAAACAAAAGGTAAGAAGGGGATGAAATCACATCGTTTCTTAGACTAAACACGGCCTTAAGTCAATTCCTGCCTTGTTCCACATTGGTTCCCAGGGCAGCCCAAAACGTCTCTAGAACTTTCCTGCCGACGGAAGAGCTGACGACGGCCATAGCCCTTTGGCCTATGAGGGCACGTTCGTTTGTCTTATAATTCATATTTTTAACTTATTTTTTTAATTGAAATAGTGTTTTTCTTTCGTAACAAATCAGACAAAATGATATTTTGATTTATTTTTTCAGCGAAACGAACGGAGATCATACAACCTTTAAAAAGCTTTTTTAAAGGCAACCGCAGTGGTTGCTTCGGTTCATCATTCAGAAGAGGCAGCCACGTCAAAAGGTGGAGGAGTCAACTCTCGTACGAACAGAACCATAGCCCACGAGAAAAAAAAAAAAATTGGACACCTGACTCGCTCTGCGCTTCTTGATTTGCTCCACACCGCACCATGGCTCAACTCGCATGGCCCAAATTCAGGCCTTGTTTATATCCTATTTCATCGAATAATATTTGGACACATGTACAGAGTAATAAATATAGACTTAAAAAAATAACTAATTACGTAGATTATGACTATTTTACGAGACGAATATTTTAAGCTTAATTAGTCCATGATTTGACAATAAGTGCTACAGTTACATATGTGGTAATGATAGATTAGTTAGGCTTAATAAATTCGTCTCGCGGTTTACTGATGGTTTCTGTAATTTATTTTTATTAATATCTAAACACCCCATTAAACACTTCCTTATGACAGCCAACGTGACACTAAAACTTTACGCCTAAGACTGAACAAGACCTCGTTCTTTATTCCTCGTGAAATGACCCAGAAATATGAATTGATTCTTCTCTCTCCTCAACGATTCGCTTACAGTATGGAGTAGTTGTAGTAGTGCGGTGCCATCTTTCATATCTTTTTTGTTTGTTTTTAAAAAAGATAAATGGTGATGTTTCCAACGACGAGTTATCAGACCCATCTGGGACGACTGTCCCTTTTGTTGAGTAGTACTGTACGTACCCTGGAATTTGCCGTTGGCCAACGCCCATCATGCTCAGATATCAAAGGGAGGAGGCGTGGCACTGGACAAGGAGAGTACTGGCATACTGCGCCGTGCGTCTCTCCGGCCAAAAATCAAATGATTCTGCTGTGTGCTGTGTTATAACAATTATAGAGAACCTTACAGCCATCTTCAGTGGGCCCACGAATGTCAACACGGGCCACATTTCGCACTCGACCTGCCCAAATTTTTTATTTTTAGCCTTTTTTTTAAAAAAAATCACAAATATGTTCACAGAGTTAAGATTTCAAAATATGGACCTTTAGCTCGGCGTCATCGTTGCTGGCGCCGAGCTCTTGCGCTCGACGCTGACGTGGCGGTGACTTGGTAGGCAGCTCAGCACCGTAGATCTTGGCGTCGAGCTCGGCGCCGTAGTTACTGGCGCCAAGCCTGTCTTACGTATGGACCCCAATCATTTCTCTCTTCCTCTCCTCTCTCTCTCTACTACTTTCTGGCTACTTGAAAGCAAATAGCAACATGACCGCCGCCGCCGCCTCCTCTCCAATCCTCGCCCTCGCCAGCAAGGTCCTCCCACGCCCTCGCGCGTTCAAGGCCTTGCATGCCACCACGCCACGCCACAAATGCAGTGCAACAGCCGCACGTCTGGCAGTGCCATGTCACGCCACGCCCATGCCCATTGGCCACGCCACGCCACACATGGGCTGCGTCGTCGCCACACCACACCACCGCCTTCGGCCTCGCCCGGACGTCTTGCGCTTCAACCGCCGTCTGCCGGCCTCGCCACGCGAGGGTCGGGCATCCGCGCCGCGTCGTCGTCAGCGCCACTGCTGCACTGACTGCAAAGACCAAGTGTGTCACCACCGACTCGGCTCGTCGGCCTCACCCACGCCCGGCGTCTGCTGCGTCTCCGTCGTCAGACAGGTAAAAATTATGAATTTGTAATGTACGTACTTAGTTAGCTTTGATTATAGTGTAGTAGTTTTGGCATTTGTTATTTACTAGTTAATGTGATGACTCAGGTAGTGCTCTTTAGACGATTAAATGTTTAGATTATATAATGATATTTTCTGTTCGTAACTGTGGATGCTCCTGAAACAAGGGAAACTCTTACAAATTTTTTCCGTGAATCATTAATTATACTACACTACTAAAAAGGCACAAATGTAGTACATAGATGTCGATGTTTGACCACCGATAGCCTGCCACGGGGGTACCCAGGGCAGTATGTTCGGGCTTCAGCGTATGCGGAACTCGACGGTGAATGTAAGAGACAGTCGATTTATCCTGGTTCAGGCCCTCGACTGTGGTCGAGTAATAGTCCTACGTCCAGTCGGCGTTAGCCCTTGCGTTGTATTGTTTTTCCTAGGAAACCCGCCCTCCTTTATATAGTCAGGAGATCAGAGTCCTAGTCGGTTTACAATGAGAGTTTCTAGTAGGATTACAGAATAATACTACTACTAGGATTACATGGGAAGAATCCTAGTTGGACTAGATCTTCTCCCTTCCTGGTGGGGTATCCTGTGGGTCCCGCATCGACAAGCCCCCGAGCACTTCATGGTTGAGTTCTGGAAGCTTCGTCTTGTTCCTTCAGGTCTTGCCAAGTAGAAATAAGTGTCGTCCGAGTGCTTTCCTGAGTAAAACCATGTAGCGTTTTCTAGGATCTTCGAGTGGTGTGTGCCTTTTTGAAGAAAAAAGCGCATCCAGCTGGGTGTAGCCCCCGAACCTCTTGCTATTTGGAACAAGTAGCTGGAGGGTTATGTCTTGGAGTTGCTCTGATCCTTCGCCGAAAAATAACCGAGTATACCTGGGTTCTTTATTAAAAAGAACTCGGATATATCGTGAGGTCTTGGAGTAGTGTGTCTTGAATAAGTCTTTTTTGTGACGTGCGCTTTTTTGAAGAAAAAAGTGCACTCA